TTTTTTATTATTATTATTTATTATTATTGTATTGAATGAGTACTTGTATTATGCTTTCAAATATATATATATTTTTTAAAACTGTACTTGCAGGAAATATAATGTTAATAAGATAAAAAGTTGTTTAAGTGTACTTAAGAAGAGTTCACTTTCATGACTGTTTCTTAACACACTTAAGAACACTTTTAAGTGCAGTTTATAATGTCAAATTAAAGACGTTTTTCTTTAAAGCACATTTTAAATCATGTTTTAATAATCTTTTGATCTGCTTGAAAGAAGTACACTTAACATACTAAATAGTGCTGGGCGGTATGACCATAAATGTATATCACGGTATTTTTCAAAATTATACCGGTTTCACAGTACATGACGGTATTTTTTTTTTCATGCATGACCGGGTGTTAACCATATTTTCTACTGATTGAGAGAGGAAATAGAATTTCAAAAAATTGTTTGCGCTTTGTGTTAAAGCAGAACACCAATCCTTGACGCACCTGATAAAAATACCTCATGCACATCCCTCAGCCCACAAAGATGGAGGAACAGGAGGAACTGTGTCAAGGGCAAGCAAACTTATCTGATCAGTGACAGTCAGAGCGTGATACTTTCCTACAGAAAGATGACAATATTTACACCTCTCTTTGACACTATGAATACATCATCATATCCATGGATCACCTTTATGGCTTTCAGAAGACAAACTAAGGTATCTGTGTACACAAGGCAGCTGCAGGCAAACCGCTCATGTCTTTATTAAAAGCAGGGACTTGGAAAGTAAACGCAACAGCCTGGTGTTGAGTTCAAAAGGAATGGAGAAGTTTTAAGCCCTGCTGAAAAGACATATTAAAATTCACCAGTAAACTTACTAGTTAACATTTCTAACAGTGGTCAAATGACTAGTTGACCATAAAGACCAATCTCTATCAACCCCATCAAAAACTTGATGGTCAACACAACAGTATTTTCATGCTGGACCATCAACTAGACCAACACTAACCAGCATAATCCAGCCTGGACAAGCATGTATCCAGACCAACGTTGTGTCCCTGACCTGTTGACCAGCAACCTCTAGTCTGATGAATCATATCAAAAGAGCAGATTTGGATTTTACCATGTTTATGTGGTTCCGTCCAACCCCACTAATAAATTAATTTACTAGTCAACTACACTAACCAATTAATTGATTGTTGCATGAGTAGTTGGCCATCCTGTCTCATTCCCATGTACCATATACACCATCAAGATTTTGATGCATGGAAATGCAAGATGAATCCAGACCACCTGATGAATTGTGTGCCTTTGACCTGTTAGCAAGTACTAGTCTGATGTATTATCTCTTTTGTCAAACCCCACTAGTAAACTCACAAGTCAACCACACAAACCAAGTAGCTGGCTGTTGGATGACAAGTTGCCAACCGATCAGCCAGCTTCACTAGCACCTTGACCAATTTGCCATTTTATCACATTTATGTGCTTCTGATAAACTAGTGACTAATAAACTAGTCAGTTGTTGGATGACTAGTAAGATAATCTGTCCCATCCCTATCAACCAGATTCAATACCATAGTTTGGCTGGTCAACAGCATGGCTAAACTGGACCATCAGATAGACTAACAACTAACCGGTATAATCCAGCCTTGACAAGCATGAATCCAGACAAACTGGTGAACATTGTGTCCTTTGACCTGGTGACCTAGGTCAACAGGTTATTTGCTTCTGTACAATCCCACTACTAGTAAACTCAGTAGTCAACCACCCAAGTCGAGTAGTTGGCTGTTGGATGATTAGTTGGCCATCCTATCAACCAGCTTCACTAGCAGTTTGACAAGCAACTTCTAGCCAGGTGAATCATCTCAAAAGGGCAAATTTATATTTTATCACATTGATTTACTTCCATACAACTAACATGGATAAACTACTCAGTTGTTGAATGAACTCAGTTGCTAATCTGTCCCATTCCTACTGGCCAGATCAAATATCACAGTTTGGATGGGTCAACAGCATGGCTATGCTGGCCCACCAGCTAGACTAACACAAGCCAGGCTGGACCAGCATGGAAATTTAGGATAAACCCAGACCAACTGGTGAACTTTGTCTCCTTGACCTGTTAGCAAGTTCTAGTCTGGTGAATCATCTTAAATTTCATCATTTTTATTTGCTTCTGTCCAACCCAACTACTAGTAAACTCACTCATTAATCACACTAACCAAGTAGCTGGCTGCTGGATGACTAGTTGGCCATCCTATCAACCAGCTTCAACTAGCAGTTTGACCAGCAACTTCTAGCCTGGTGAATCATCTCAAAAGAGCAATTTGGGATTTTAAATCACACTCATTTGCTTCTATAAACCAGTAAATTGTTGGATGAATAGATGGCCAGTCTATCCCAAACAAGCAATGTTTGGCTGATCAGCTTGACTAACACTAACCAGCATACACCAACCTGGAGCAGGATGTATATTAGGGATGAATCCAGAACAACAGCTACGATCTGCATTCTTGACCTCTTGACCAGTAACTTCCAGTCTGGTCCTCTTAAAAGAGCAATTTAGCATTTTATATCGCATTTATGCGCAACCTCACCCTGCACACAGTAAATTACTTTTTACAGAAGCCCCGTTTAAGAGAGAACTCTGTACATTAAATGTGTGATTACAATGTGACCCAAGCTGACAGCTACAGTGTCGGTTCACACGATAGGCTGTTTTAAGCCTGACAACATCTCACTTAGTTGCAGGTTGCCAAAAGCTGTTCACACCTCCCTCAATTATATTATCATTGCCCATGTGTTTGCATGGTGTGAAGCCCACATCAGATGAGCAAAGCGAGCATCAAGTGAAACCAACAGAGTCAGTAATAAAGAAACTCAAAGAAGGTGAGAGATCCACTTTAGTTGACTAGTAAATGTCAGAGCAAGTGGGCGAAATGTAAACCATGAGTTCTCAGATATGCGGTGTAAATAGTTAGATCTAAGGTACTAAGCAGGATTCACAGAATGAGATTACAACTGCGTGTACAAGAGATGCCGTGGACACGGAGAGTGTCCTGTTGCTATGGTGATAAACAGGGTCATTCAGAGCAAAGCTAATGGATTACAGTCCATTCTAGAGGAACATATTTAGACTTGGCCCTTACCTCACCGTGTGCTTTTTAGAAAGTGCCTAACTAGAGACTGAGTCACTGGAAAATGTAGGTTAACTCCTTATGAAGTCCTGTCGAACTACAAAATAAAGGGACTTAAACGGCAAATTGAATGTGTTTAGTATCTTTAAAACCAGTAATTGTTACAAAGTGCATTGTTATAAAGAATACATTCATTCAGAAAATCAAAAGCCTTTTAACTTCTTTCAGTAACTCATAAATAAAATGATTTTAGACCTGCATTTCATATGCATTAAAATATAAATGTATGTTATGAATTTATCTGATTTTCATGACATGCATTCATTTAAATTTTAGGTTATCATTGGTTAAAGGAATATTAACCTAACAAATAAGAGTGCATTGACAATTATGCACGTAGAACAAATGCTTTCTAATGTACTCAACAGCGTGTTGACAGGGCTTAACTTGCATTTAACTTATATCATATAATAATGTTTACTGATGTTATTAATTGACAATATAATACTTTTTCTCCTTCAAATCACAGTGTGCTCAGTTTTGCTGTGTGCTTTGGGTCATTGTCATGTTGGAAGGTAAACCTTCTTTCTATTAGTGGTCGACTGATATGTGATTTTTTTAATGGCCGATGCCGATATTGAGAAATCAATCTGGCCGATATGAGGCCGATATAATACACTTAATTAAAGTAAAACAACTGAGGTAATATTTATTGCAGCCTTTCCTTTTCTTTTGCTCCATCATCTACAAAAAAAGAAAAAAAAGAAAAAAAAATACATATATATTTATGAAACTTAAACAATTCAAATGTAAACAACATAGGTAACACTTAAATGAACAAGGTTTAGTGCAGCCTTTCTAACATTTATAATTAATGAACAAATTAATATCCATAAATTAATGCCAAAAATAGTATGTGTAATTCCATGTATTTTATGTACAATACATATATAGTTTACAGAGCAACAGGTTGTTTTAATTATAGTAAGGGATGGTTGGTTGGTTAATAATAAAGATGTATGTCTCTGATCTTTCGTTTTGTTTGTCTGTTTCATTGTAAAAATAATACAAGCCTGAAGGTGTATAATTACATGCTTGGTTATCAGCATATAGCAGCATCAAATAAGACCAGAACATACGAAAAGGTAAACTACACGCGATACTGTGCCAATCATGGGCAATCAAATACAGCGGATATTCCTGAATAAACATATAAAGGAATTCAAACGTATTATTATTACTCAACAGAGTTCTCGTGTCGACCCAGCTTTCATTCTGGAGTGCACCGGATTTTGAGTCCACCGTAAAACAGTGTCTTGTTTAGAAGTACCTGAGAACAATGCGCATATCTGAGGAAGAGCCATTTTTTTGCGGGATTTTTGACTGTTTGTGAGGTAAACACGGTTTCATTTTCTTTTGAATTTGTTTATATCACATCTGTGTCTCGTACCGGAGCTGCCGGTGGGCTGCGGATCTGATGTCTCATGGGACGTTTGAATAAGACTTTGCTGCACGCTGGAGTGTTATTGTATGTAACACAACGTAGAGTCACGTTAGAAAGTGAATGACGATTTGTGCTGGCTTCACATCTGAGTGGCTTGTCTTAAAGACGAAGCATAAATGCATGATATGGTGTCATGATCCGTTTTGAAAAAAATCGGCCACACGGAAAGACTTATCGGCCGATGCCAATATTTAAAAAAATCTAAATATCGGCCTATATGTTGGCCGCGGCGATATATCGGTCTACCACTACTTCCCATGGGCAACTTTCTGGCAGAGGGCAGTAGATTTTCCCCAAGAAATTGACGGCATTTTACCCCATCCATTTTCCTTCTATTCTGAAAAGTGCTCCAGTCCCCGCTGCAGAGAAACACCCCCAGAACAGGACATCACCACCTCCATGCTTTACTGTAGGAATGCTGTTATTTGGATGGTGAGCTGTATTGGTTTTCCGCCAGACATATTGTTTGGTGTTGAGGCCAAATAATTCAATTTTAGTCTCATCTGCCTCAGAATCTTCAAGGTAGCTATGCTTATTTGTACGTCAAGTTAGTATTGTTAAACACGAGGTGGCCGAGGTTGACTTGGCGTGTGGTTTGACTTGCCCAAATGTTGCTCAGTGAGTGTGGAAGGCATTTGCTCATGGAGGCCTGGCACTGGAATGCTTCCTCTCGGACTGTTTTACAGTTTCCTGAGAGCAGATGGAAAGAGGCAGGGCAGGTTTATGCCAAGAAGGGTTTCAGGAGAGCACACTGACTCCCCCACAGCAGGGCAGGGCCGAGCCGTCAGATTGAGAGATGGAAAGAGAAATATCTTCACGTCATTTTGCCTTTTGACTGCTTTAGAGCTGCAACTAACAGCCATTTTTCTAACCAATTAATCTGCCAATTAGCTATTTCTTTGATTAATCAATGAATCTGGATGAAAAGTGTTTCTTTTTTTTTTCAGTAATTGCACTGAAATTCATAAAAAAAAACATTATATACACCATTATAAATGTTCACATTATAATACAACAGTAACACAAGTAAATGTTTTTTTTAATAAAAGAAAACATTAAACCTATAAGCCTACTGTATCATAATTGATACACAAATTTCTAAGGCTTCTAATTTAAATTAGCTATTTCTTTGATTAATCAATGAATCTGGATGAAAAGTGTTTCTTTTTTTTTTTCAGTAATTGCACTGAAATTCATTAAAAAAAAAACATTATATACACCATTATAAATGTTCACATTATAATACAACAGTAACACAAGTAAATGTTTTTTTTAATAAAAGAAAACATTAAACCTATAAGCCTACTGTATCATAATTGATACACAAATTTCTAAGGCTTCTAATTTTTTCAACAAGATCAAAACTTGGCTGAAAAACCTGTTGAACACAATCTACTACATGCTCGTCTGATGAATAGTTTATATGTTTTAAGCAAATTACATGGCTTTTTAGTAAAATTGTAAAAACGTCCCCCTGCAGGTTGTGGTTCACATGTTTTTTTGCTGTGAAATCTTTAATAATTTTTCTAAAGTAAATATATGAATAACTTTTATATTGTTAGTACTTTTTCAAGATGAATACTTACTGGACTAAAGCACCTTAGGTTTACTTGATTATCCATAAGATAATTTTTTAGAAAAATCATGTTAAATTATGAATATAAAATATGATCCATAATTTGAGGAACATTTATCTCTCAATCATCATTGTAATGAATTGCATTATGTTTTGCCTCCCATTATAAAAACAACAGAGCTTTGATCATAAAACTAAGCATATTAATACCTTACTAAGACTTTATTGTGAAATATATGAGTGACAACTGATATTTATATGATTCCATGTAAGTAGTCTGCTATACTTTTATAAAAACCAATTTATTCATTACAAGTTATCAATTTCATCTTACTTTTAGTCCATTGTATTATCAGCAACTGCACCAAATGGCCTATTCTTGCTCAGTTTCTTTCCCTCCTTGAATATGAGCTCCACATTCTCCAGTATCACATTAAATATAAGCCATAAAAACCTGATGTATCAAATATGATACTCAAAACTTATTTTTTTTTAATTTGTAAAAAAATATTTGTAAAGGTTCAATAAACTGTTCCTTTCAATTTTTTTTGACTATAATTTCATATGTTTTACAGGGTTAAAATGAAGTGGTTTCACGGCACAAAGACTTTTGTGTTTGCAACTGCACCAAATGGCCTATTCTTGCTCAGTTTCTTTCCCTCCTTGAATATGAGCTCCACATTCTCCAATATCACATTAAATATAAGCCATAAAAACCTGATGTATCAAATATGATACTCAAAACTTAATTTTTTTTAATTTGTAAAAAAATATTTGTAAAGGTTCAATAAACTGTTCCTTTCAATTTTTTTTTACTATAATTTCATGTTTTACAGGGTTAAAATGAAGTGGTTTCACAGCACAAAGACTTTTGTGTTGTTGATTATTGTGATTATGAATTATGATCAATTATCAATACAGCCGTGCTGTATCTGAAAGCTGTGAGAGTGATAAATGGAGCGGCACAGTGAATGCCGTTAGTAAATGTGTGAGAGGTGACATTCAGTAAAATACTGCGCTTGCAATCCGAGAGAGAGCATGTGTGGGTGGACGAACACTGAAAGACATTCTGTTGTTATTCACACAATCACATTTAGACCAACATCATCCCAATACAGCCAGTTTGGCTCTGAGCTGTGAATTAGGTCATATTAGACGAGGGACAGGTGGTTTTGCTCGCTGCACGGTGGGGAAATAAAACAGAGAAATTGCTTCGCTGCAGAATTGCAGCCTGCAGGTTATGATGTCTTCACATGTTTAGAATTCTTTTATGGCATTAATATGATTGAATGGG